AGACAAAACCCGGACTGGATTTATTTCCCCTACCCTCAGCCTCCGCAAATCTTCTCAGCCTTTGGCCCACACGCTGGGGCAAACGCTACCCCGCAGCAGATTATTCCTCCTGCTGGGTGGACGGAAGACTTTGCTGGAAGTAGGGTTGTTGGTCAAACTCAGACTTTGAAGGAAGTAATTTTGCCCGCAAGTCATTTTCATGGTCTCTGCTGTGCATAGCGACTACTCTTGACCTAACGTTAAACCGGAGAAGGTGTATCAGTCTGAGATTTGGGGCCACTTCCTAATACGAATCATCAGACTCATTTGCGTTTTCGAGATACTGGTTCATGACATTGCCTGCCAATCTCTCAGTCCCTTTGACCGCACCGTTCTAGGCCCTGCCCATTGAGCTCTCTGGGCGACGTGCTAACTCTCTTGTCTTTCAGCTTTCCTGTCTGCATGTTTACCTTAAGTGCCGGATTATAAGGGCCACATTCCTAGAAGCTTTCAGCTCTCACCATCCAGTCCGTAGACCACTGGCACTATCGAGGCCTTTGGAGAAACAAACTGGGGCAAGAGTTCTAGATTGCCTGAGTTTGTTATTTTTTAAAAACTAATATGAAGTAAGAGTCTGGAAATCAAGCACATAACCATATAACTAATGACACTGTCACTTTCTGAGGATTTCTAGGTCTGATAAAGAAAAGTCAGGTGCTACCGTTTGGGATTAGGATATATAGTAAGCCATACTCTCTACATACAAATCATTCTCCAAATTCCATCTTTGTGGTTGAGGTCTGAGGAGGATCTAACTCACCAAATGCTCTGGCAGGTGCCTCCACGAGGCCAGTGTAAAAGATGTCCTCCCCCTCAGCTTCCTTTCACTGTAATTACTGTAGGAGATTTAACATCAGGTGCCCTTTTAGACACTTGAAGGGAGCTCATTAGATGCTCACTTATGGTGTCTTCCAACTGTTGAACATTTCCACTGGGATGATGACAAAGATTCTAAAATGAACTTTTTGTTCTCCCTGAATCAGATTAGCTTCCTGATATACCTATTTCAAGTAATGACACTCTCATATAATCAGGCCCAAAATAGCGGTATCATTTTAACTCCCTTCTCTACTTTATCCCTAGAGGCAGTAGCCCACAAGTCCAATCCATTGTTCTTTCTGAAATGCCTCTTGCATCCACCCCTTCCTTTCCATTTCCAAAGTTCCTATGGTGTTTCGTGACTTCAAAAGTCAAAGTTGCTAACAGAGCTAGCTCTCTACACGCAGTTTCTCAGCCACTCAACCTCTCCTAAAACCCACCAACACCAGACTCATCTTCCCCAAACTCCATTTAGATTATAGCATTTCCTGGTTAAAATTTTCATTTGTAATTATTCTATTCAAGAATTCAGAGAGAGAAAATAGTTTGAGCATTTTAACAGGTGGGTGTGTTTGATCCAAGCATGGAACAGCAGGGGCCAGCCAAGAAGTGAACTTGTCAGTATTAGTGAGGGTTTCCAAAGAATAAAAAAGGGTCACTGAAGTGGCTTCATCCCAAATGCAAGAAATTTACCTTGGTAGTTGGGAGATGATTTTAGAGAGGCAGCAGGGTCTTTCTCTGACCAGGAAGCGTAAAGATCAGGGGCAAGGAGTTGGCTGACAGGTATGGGCAGGGTGATAGAAGGGAACAAAGCTGTGAGACAAGTGGGATAGAGGAGCCAGTGGTCTCGGGAGCCAGAGTGTCTGGGTTTGAATCATGGCTCTAGAACTTACCAGCTATATGCCTTTACTCACCACCCCTCTGTGCCTTAGTTTCCTCATCTATAAAATGGGGATAATAGTAGCACCTACCCAATAATAAATTTCTTTTGTAGGATAATGAGTTAATGTGTGCAATCATCTTAGAAGAGTACCTAGCACAAGGAAGGTCTATATAAAAGCTCATTATATTAAATATATTGAAAGCAGTCTATAAACACAAAGGCTTGGGTTACTCTCAAAGTAACAGGGTAGCTCTCTTTTTAGTAAACTCGGAGCTGTCAATAACTAGCAAGAACAATGCTTTTAAAGCAGGACAACATCTTACCAAGGGGCTATGGTCAGGCCAAGGATAAAGCTTTTTATGTCTGAAATTGCCATAGATGAAAGAAAGTAAATGTTTTCCTGAGAACTGGGCAGAAAAACAGAGTTAAGTGAGCTAGTGGTTGTATTTGTGGATTAGTAGAAGAGGTACTAATTTACACCATTGTACTTTCTTTCAAAACTGCTATATACGCTTTGAGATCAGCTTGTTCTTTCTCTCAGGGTACCTCCACAGAGCTCGCACACACCCATTCCCCGGCCCCACTGGGCCCAGAGAGAATGCCCTCTGAATGGGAGAAAAAGATTGGCCTTGATATTGAGATCATTAAGTGCAGGCTAATGTCACAAAAGCAATTTGGCTCAATCTAGGCTTTGAGGGATGAGAAGGATCTAGATGGGCATGGAAAGCAGCGTTGTGCAGGCCACTGAAGACCAACCTCATGAAATAAGAGGGCATTTAATGGGAAATAAAATCAAATTACCTAATTCATCAGGAATCAAGAACTATCTCATGATGTGAGCTCATGGTGCCCTGTGCTCGTAGACTCAGAAGTCAAAAAATATCTCACGGTGCCAAGCAAATGGGGAGGAGTCATTGCTGCTTTGTCCCCCATGTTCCCTAAACATAACACATTTTACTTCCCAAAACTAAGAACGCTTCCCACTAAGGATGAGGCATGTCTCTCGGTCATAGGATAAGGAAGACACCTTCCGGACAGTCTGATTTAACACATCATCAGATGAAACATTCCATCATTCTTTCAATATGCCAAGTGCCAGGCTCTGTTCTGGGCATTGGTATGCAACAGTGAACGAAATAACCCTCAGTGGGGAGGGAAGTAGACAATAACCAAAGAAAACAAATGAATTACATGGTTTCACAGATCCAATAATGTTATAGAGAAAAATAAAGCAGAGGAGGGGATAAAGAGTGCTAGAAGTTTAACGTAAAGAAATAAATATTTAATTTCTTATTTTTATTAATTGATAATTATTACATATAATTATAATGATCTATAATTATATTCATTATGATTTATTTTATGTATTGAATATATAATATTTCATATATATTGAACATAAATAAGTGTATTAAAGCAAACATAAGAATAATATGGAGAAAAATGTAAAATTCGAATGAGAACGTGCAGCAGTGACCGTGTCAAGCATTACATTGAACTCCATCTTCTTAACCTTGGATAGGATTCATTGTCCTCTGGGAGAATCTGGGGTGCAAACAGTGTGAGAAACACTGAGGAGGAAGACTGAGAATGGGCTTTGCAGGAAGAACCACTCCCTAACCACAGAACAACTTCGCTGCCTCCTGCCTCATTTCTTACTATTCTTAAACCTTTGCATTCTGAGCCCCAGAGATACCCAGAGCATTTTTTAAAAAACATGTATCTGAGAAACTACAGCCAAAAAAAAAAAAAAAAAAATCAGGCTCAGTTTGACGTTCTGTTCAATTTTTAAAAATTCAGTCTTCAGAGAAACAATAATCATGATCCCCAAATCAAATTTGGCTATCCAATGAGGCATAGCCATAACCATGGCAGAAAGGCAACAGACTTATACTCATCAGCAGTAGCTCTTTCATATCTTCGTCAACTTTCAACTATTGGATTCCTTGCGAATGGTAGCTCCTTCTAAAAGTTATTTTAAAACTAAAAGTAAAACTTTGCCCTTTAAACAGTTTATAAAAGTAAGATTGGGTTAGTTTTTCCACACTTCTGGGAAACTTAAAAATGATTTCAGATGATGACTGTCATCCCACCATATGAAAAATAGATTAGGGCTAAGAGAATCACTCATTTATTACAACCTTCAGGCTGAAAGCCTGCATAAGTCAAGCATAAACCTCCACCCAGATAAATGTTTCTTCCATGAGCAATTAAGTTAAGCCCTCTTTAATAACACAATGTACTTTCGACGTGGTTCTTTAAAATACCTCTCAGAGTCTTGAATTTTTTTTAAGATTTTATTTATTTGTTTGACAGAGAGAGACGCAGTGAGAGAGGGAACACAAGTGGGGGGAGTGGGAGAGAGAGAAGCAGGCTCCTTGCTGAGCAGGGAGCCTGATGCGGGGCTCGATCCCAGGACCCTGGATCATGACCTGAGCCGAAGGCAGACGCTTAACGACTGAGCCACCCAGGCTCCCCAGTCTTGAATCTTTTTTAAGCAAGTATAAAAATGATAGAATAACTGTCTTTTTAAATGTAATATACATTTGCTATTTTGGGGTGTATGTAGTATATGTGTGTGTGATCTCATATTGTCATCTCATATTGGCACTTTAAAGCAATGGACAGAATACTGGACTGGTGTCCCAGAGGCTTGAGTTCAAATCCTATTCTGGGGATTCCTAGCCATGGGAAACTAGTTAAGTCCCCTAATCTCCGCAGGGTTCACAACTCTTAAGATGAATGAACTGTACTCTTTCAGGTCTTCTGACTCTTGAGTTCCATGATGTGATACTGACCTGAAGTCTGTTTTATGATTAAGCCAAATGCCCATTATTAAAATCCACAAATGGAGTCTA